ACTCACACCCCCCACTCACACCCCCCCCACTCACCCCCCCCACTCACACCCCCCACTCACACCCCCCCCACTCACCCCCCCCACTCACACCCCCCCACACCCCCCCCCCACTACACCCCCCCCCCCACTCACACCCCCCCCACACTCACCCCCCCCCACCCCCCCACTCACCCCCCCCCACTCACACCCCCCCCACTCACACCCCCCCCACTCACACCCCCCCACTCACCCCCCCCCACTCACACCACCCCACTCACACCCCCCCACTCACACCCCCCCCACTCACCCCCCCCACTCACCACCCCCCCACTCACACCCCCCCACTCCAAACCCCCCCCACTCACTCCCCCCACTCACAGACCCCCCCCACTCACACCCCCCCCCCACTCACACCCCCCCCCCACTCACAACCCCCCCACTAACAACCCCCTCACTCACACCCCCCCCCACTCCACTCACACCCCCCCCACTCACACCCCCCCACTCACCCCCCCCCACTCACACCCCCCCCCACTCACACCCCCCCCCCCCACTCACACACCCCCCCCACTCACAACCCCCCCCACTAACACCCCCCCCCACTCACAACCCCCCCCACTCACAGCACCCCCCCCCACTCACACCGCACCGGGAGCGGCGCGACAGTTGTCCCGCGAGTGGCGGATCCTGCGTTGGGGGCGGGGGAGGGGGCGGGGGAGGGGGCGGGGGAGGGGGGCCATGGCCCCCGCCCCTCGCCCCTCTGTGACCCAGAAAATGTTATACTTTTTCGAAGCGATGTCATGATTGATAAAGGCGATAATTCCCCTATTACAGAGACGAGAAGTGACGTTACAACAAAATAGTTTCAGACAAAGTACATTTCATTTTATGTTATTTTTTTATTAATGTAAAGGGAGCCCTGTTTAAAATCTTTACATTTCGCGACCCCCCCCCCCCACTCCCCGCGCCTCCATCATCTCCCTCCCCACACCCCCTCCCCCCACCCCCCCCGACCCCCCAGACCTTGGGATGCATCCGGATCCGCTCCTGGGCCCTACGTACGAGTTCATCGCCGCGCATCGCGTGCACGTGTGTCCACGGGTCACTCTCACGGGCCACTCTGATCATCTCTCACAAGTCACTCACGATTCACTCTCACGAGTCACTCTCACAGGTCATTAACGAGGCATCTCTCGGCGGACGATTCCTCCCCGTTGGCGCGTCGTACTTCCTTCGAGTGCAGCCAGCGTTGACTCCTCACTGAATAGTCTCCGAGTCGTGGGCACGCTGGAGGAGCTGGCACGGTGAACGCGCATTCTGGAAGCGGCGTGCCGGGTACAGGAAATGTTTTCTGATTCGCCGACCCGGACTGGCCCAGACGAAATGAAGTCCCGAGTGCCAACCACGTGGCCCCCGGGTGTGTCTTCTTACCCGGGGTTAAACAACATCCACTTGAAACTTGACAGCATCTCATGCCGAGCATCGTGACCTCAGCGACCTGACGTTTCAGTTTTTTGAGCATCCACTTCATTCGTGATTGGGCAGGCGCGTGTGCGCGTGTACGTGCGTGCGTGTAAGCGCGTTCCGAAGCGTGCTGGGTTAATGATCGCGCGCGCGCGAGAGCATTGAAGCGTGCAAGGCGTAGCGCAACCGCTGCGACCCTCGCTGACTCACCGCGTGAGTCGTGCGAGTGGCGGCACTCGCCAGCGCAGCTGCGCGGCGTCGGTAACGTCGGCGGCGGGATTGGCGCTCGACCGCGGGTGTCTCTTTGCGCGCGCGAACGCTCTGGCCGAGGTCTCTGCGGCGTCGGCAAACTGCGCCCGTGACGCAGCCGCCGACGAGGTTCTCAGCCGTGTCGTGCCGTGCCGCACCGCCTCCTAACGGGACCCACACCCCCCTCAGGTCTTGCGTTATGACGATCGCTCGCCACGTGATATTTACAGAAACAAACAAACGGGTAACGCCTCCCCTACTGAGCCGTGCAGACTGTGGGGGTTTCGTGGTGTTAGCGAGCACCTGTTGAGGCTGAAACGGAACCACGAGAGGGGTGGCTGTGGCCAGCACAACACCCGGCCACCTTTGTCTCCCCAGTGCCGATGTAGGTGAAGCACACTAACACGGGGTCATGGCAACTCGAGCCAACTGTGGGGTGAGACAAACGGCATCCACAGCCGAAATTTGAACCCAGGCGGCTGGGATAGTTACCGCAGTGCACCAACTGCCGTGCCACCGCTCCCGACTATATATATATCTATTTCTCTCTCTCTCTCGTATGTACAAAGCCAAAGATCCCCCGTATAATCTTAACAGAATTTAAGGGCAAGTGTTGTTAGCGAGCAGCACCTATGAAGGCCGCCACGGCACGACGTTTACACACCATAACAGGTACTCATTTGAGGCTGGGTCGACTTAGGGGAAGCCTAGGACCGGTTCAGAAAATCCTTACTGGTCTTGGCTGTGAGCGTGAATCGAATTCAGGTCGCCGGGTTTTTAGCGCAGAGCGCCAACCGCTACACCACCGCTCACACAGCGTGTACACACACGCACACACACGCGCACACACGCGCGCATGGACGCCGGCCCCGGCGGGTAGCTACCGGCTACAACCGAGTGCTTTCTGCTCGCGAGAAACCAGCGCTCGCCTCTGCGCGGGGCCGGTGGCGGCGCCGGCCGCGGTGGCTCCGGGCAGGGGGAAGGCGGCGCCCAGCAGCGGGACCCCGTGCAGGGGCAGCGGCGGCAGGGCCCCCGCGCGGGGCCCCAGCGGCTGCTGCAGGGCGCCGGCGGGGCCCAGCTGCTGCTGCTGCACGCGGGCGAGGCGGTGCGCGGCGCCCAGCAGCTGGTGGAACGGCATCGCCCACGGCGCCGCCGCGGAGATCAGCGCCGGCTGCTGCTGCTGCTGGCTCTGGGATAGGTGCGCCTCGCGCTGCACAGCATAGCTGTGCAGGTGCGACAGCAGGCGGCAGTTGAGGGGGTCGGCCCGGCTGGCGCTGGCGCCGTCGGCCACGGTGAGGAAGCGCGCCACCTCGGAGAGGCACTCGCGGAAGCCCATGCTGCGGTAATCCATGGCGAAGGAGAACGGATCGTGGAACCCTGGGGTGGGGAGCGGGAGCGGGTGACTGGGGGTCAGGAAGGGTGGGGCTCCGAACCCTCAAGATGCCTCTCGGACTCTCCTCTTCGTCCTGGCCTCCTCACGATGATTCCAGACGCAGTTTCATACAGAGAATCGTCCTCGAACTCACCCAGTGAGTGAGAATCGATCTCTAACTCACCGGGTGATTGAGCATGAACGACACAAATTTGGACAGATTATTACGAAGCCAATTGCTAATTATATATATATAATAAAATAGAGAATTGATCAAAGCTTCCCAATGTAGCAGGACCCTTTTTCAAAGAAGAGACTGAGTGAATTCCGCGTGACAGATGCGAGCTTTGCGTGCAAGCAGAGGGGACTGCATCTGTGTCATCTGCGAGTCATGCAGTCACCCAAGCGTCCGAGAGACAAAGATCCCTCATGTAGCCCAAGCAGGCTGTTAGGGCAAGTGCTGTTAGCGATAATCTAAAATGGCAGCACGGCACAGTTGGGGGTGGGTGGCCAGCACCACGCCCTGCTGCCTTTGTCTCACCAATGCTGAAGTAAAATACCCATTTAAGGCTAAGTCGACCTAGGGGAGGCCTAAGACCGGTTCAAATATTCGCCACTGTCTATTGATCGTAGGCGGTAGTCGAACTCATGTCACCGTGTTTGTACTACAGTGCGCTAACCGCTGCGCTACCACTCGCGAACACTCACAACAACAACAACCGCCACTAAGTGACGGTCACGTCACCACGGCGCATGTGCCATGCTATGTGCACGTTTAAGGCCACGTGAAGTGTCAAACGTCCGCTGGCAGGAGTTCACGGGACAGACCCAGGTACCATGGGTTTACCGACTGAGATTAATGAGATGAGTGGCCGATGCACCACCTGTGCCCCCTACTGGGCCAAATTGCTGTGTTTTAGCCACCTGGCGCCCTGCGTGTTGTTGTGAGTGTCGCTCCTCTGTCCTCCGTTGTTGCTGGAGGGCGATTGCCTCGAACTGCCCAGTAGCGTCCTTCACGAGCCTCCTCCACAGAGGCCGATCTTGACACCGCTGGTACCAGTCATCGACAAGTCCACTCAGCTCCACGTCTTCCTGTACCACATCACTCCATCTCTCCTCTAGCCCGTGCCGCGCCCCTTTAGCCCCCTCTATCCGGCCGAACAAAAGCTGTTTAGGCATGCAGTGGCTGGGCATGCAGGCTACATGACCCAGCCAATGCAGCCTTGCCTGCCGGAGGAGCTCACCGATGGGACTTTGCGCAGATCTTTCAAAAAGGTGTGAGCTCCTCACACAATCCTGCCTGGTTAAACCCAGGATTGATCGTAGGCAGGCCAGCCTAAATGTTTCTAACTGGGAAAGATGCTCCATTAGGGAGATCCACGTTTCACAAGAATAGAGAAGGGAGGGCAAGACCCAAAGCTTCGTGTCGAGCAACAGTTCAGGTAGGTTCCACACAGCAGCGTTATGCAACTGATGAAAAGATGATGCCGCTCGACCGATTCGGAGTGAGACCTCTGCTGTCAAGCCGGAGCTGGTCATGAGCATATTGCCCAGGTATGGAAATCTTTCCACTCTCTCCACATCTGCCCCATCACACACTCACGTACACTCACACGCCGTTACCTTTCCCGCCAGGTGAACGCAACATCCGCAGGTGTTCCACCGTCATCTGAAGGATCTCGGCTTTCTCCAGTTTTGCCGAACCCTGGGGAACAAGCCACGTGGAGGAGGAGTGGAGGGGAATAGAGAGGGCAGGGGAGGGGGAGAGTGGGAAGCAGAGCGAAGGGGAGGGGGCGAGGGGCCATTACTTCCCTGCTGCCGCGCGGTGCGCAGTCGATATCCCTCCGCTACTGCACCCTCGCCGCACTGATCGCGTCCTGGAGGGGCTGCGCGCCACCTGGAGGGGGCTGTGCCCCGCCTGGAGGGAGCTGGAGGGGGCTGCGCGCCACCTGGAGGGGGCTGGAGGGGGCTGTGCCCCGCCTGGAGGGGGCTGGAGGGGGCTGCACGCCACCTGGAGGGGGCTGGAGGGGGCTGGAGGGGGCTGTGTGCCACCTGTAGGGGGCTGTGTCCCACCTGTCCCGTCGTCCGTTCACAGTTCCTGGATCCCCATTCCCAATTTTGATCGAAATCGGTTTTTGTTTTCTTCTGTAGCTGCTCCGATGATTTTGGAACCACGTGGTGCCATATGTGTACCCCGTAACACAAACCCTGCCGAGATCACAGAGTGGCACGTGTGAATGTAGAATGTAATTGTCTTAAAGTCCTTTCTGCTATAATTAATGCGTTGTTTAAAGCCACGTGCGTCCTGGGTACATTGTAACCACTTGCCGCTGGTGAGATGAACTCCAAAATTCTTCCCCTGACTTCCGATAGTCGTTGCTGTCGCGAGTTCCCGTGATACGAGGTCAGGGGTTGACCCGGGCAATCGGGAATACGGGTGGCGCCAGGAGTTGATGAGTACCGAGGTCTGGTGCCGGTGTTGCTGTGTTTATTAACAGAGGAGGGGCATGGGAGCGATCGCCCCCCCGTCCCCCCGCCCCCCTCCACCCTCCGTCCCCCCTTCCCCTAAAAAAGTTCTCCAGCCCGCCATGAATCCATCTGTGCAGCGGCAGCGCTCACCTGCTTCTCGAGGGCGCTGGGCACGAGGCGTCGCAGCTCGGCAAGGCTGCTGTTGATGCGATCCCTCCTCCTCTTCTCGATGATCTGTGGCGAGCGCCCGCAGAGTCGATTGAGCGTGCGATCCAAGGCCGTGATTATATAATAAATATTGGGGGGGGGGGGAGCCACATTCCCCCCCATATTCAAATATGCTCAAAATGTCCCCCCAGTATATTGCTATAAAACAGATTTCTGTTTATATGATTGTGGTAATGTTTGTACTTCCCTAATCTCTGCCATTACATACAATGAAAGAAGAAAAGGTAAAAAATAAAAAAACAGAGTAATGTAATACAATACACTCTTAGACATTATTGTAAAAAATAAATAAAAAGTCCATCCTAAGTGTTAGTGAATTTTGTAAGATTTTAGACAGGAAATGGCAATAAATTCGTTCGGGGGACAACCAGACCGCCTGGAAGATTTGGTCCCCCCCAATGTTGACTCCATGGCTACGGCCTTGGTGCGAACAAAAGCACAGATCCCCCTTATAGACTCAAAAGACCGTAGGGGCAAGTGCTGCTAGCGAGTAGGACCCATGAGAGTCGGCACGGCACACAAGCGAGCGAGTGGTGTAACACTGGCAGTAGATGGTCATCATGTGAGCGTTCTGTGTAGTGGTGAGTGGGTGAGCTCTGTGTAGTGGTGAGTGAGCTCTGTGTAGCTCTGTGTGGTGGTGAGTGAGCTCTGTGTAGTGGTGAGTGGGTGAGCTCTGTGTAGTGGTGAGTCGGTGAGCTCTGTGTGGTGGTGAGTGAGCTCTGTGTGGTGGTGAGTGAGTGAGTTTTGTGTGGTGGTGAGTGGGTGAGCTCTGTGTGGTGGTGAGTGAGTGAGTTTTGTGTGGTGGTGAGTGAGCTCTGTGTAGTGGTGAGTGAGTGAGCTCTGTGTAGTGGTGAGTCGGTGAGCTCTGTGTGGTGGTGAGTGAGCTCTGTGTGGTGGTGAGTGAGTGAGTTTTGTGTGGTGGTGAGTGGGTGAGCTCTGTGTGGTGGTGAGTGGGTGAGCTCTGTGTGGTGGTGAGTGGGTGAGCTCTGTGTAGTGGTGGTGAGTGAGCTCTGTGTAGTGGTGAGTGGGTGAGCTCTGTGTGGTGGTGAGTGGGTGAGCTCTGTGTGGTGGTGAGTGGGTGAGCTCTGTGTAGTGGTGGTGAGTGAGCTCTGTGTAGTGGTGAGTGGGTGAGCTCTGTGTGGTGGTGAGTGGGTGAGCTCTGTGTGGTGGTGAGTGGGTTAGCTCTGTGTAGTGGTGAGTGGGTGAGCTCTGTGTAGTGGTGAGTGGGTGAGTTCTGTGTGGTGGTGAGTGGGTGAGCTCTGTGTAGTTGTGAGTGGGTGAGTTCTGTGTGGTGGTGAGTGGGTGAGCTCTGTGTGGTGGTGAGTGGGTGAGCTCTGTGTGGTGGTGAGTGGGTGAGCTCTGTGTGGTGGTGAGTGGGTGAGCTCTGTGTAGTTGTGAGTGGGTGAGTTCTGTGTGGTGGTGAGTGGGTGAGCTCTGTGTGGTGGTGAGTGGGTGAGCTCTGTGTAGTGGTGAGTGGGTGAGCTTTGTGTAGTGGTGAGTGGGTGAGCTCTGTGTGGTGGTGAGTGGGTGAGCTCTGTGTGGTGGTGAGTGGGTGAGCTCTGTGTAGTGGTGAGTGGGTGAGCTCTGTGTGGTGGTGAGTGGGTTAGCTCTGTGTAGTGGTGAGTGGTGAGCTCATCCCTCACCCCTCGCCGCCGCTTCCTTGCCATGTGCTGGGTGCTGCAGGAACCGCTCTTGCCAGGGGAGTCGAACTCGTGCTTGGACCTGCGAGATCCGGAGCCACCACGCGGACATCACCATCACTACCCCATCACCCACACCACAACCCCTACCACCACGCGGACATCATCACCACCATCACCACGATCATCAGTACCCTCACCACCACCCCCACGACCACACGGACATCACCACATTCACCACCACCATCACGACCCCCATCACCTCCACCACCATACTCCCAGCATCACGAGCTTCGCCTCCATCAAAACTCATAAACGTAATGTTGACTTGCTCACGCTTGCGTGTGTATGTGTGCAAGAGTGTGACCGTGTGTGTCAGTGTGCGTGACAGTATGTGCAAGTGTGTGTGATAGTGTGTGTCAGTGTGTGTGTCAGTGTGTGTGCAAGTGTGTGTGACAGTGTGTGCAAGTGTGTGACAGTGTGTGTCAGTGTGAGTGACAGTGTGTGCAAGTGTGTGTGATAGTGTGTGTCAGTGTCTGTGTCAGTGTGTGTGCAAGTGTGTGTGACAGTGTGTGCAAGTGTGTGACAGTGTGTGTCAGTGTGTGTGACAGTGTGTGCAAGTGTGTGTGATAGTGTGTGTCACTGTGTGTGTCAGTGTGTGTGCAAGTGTGTGTGACAGTGTGTGCAAGTGTGTGACAGTGTGTGTCAGTGTGTGTGACAGTGTGTGCAAGTGTGTGTGCAAGTGTGGGAAGCGGCAGTGTGGTGGTGAGCGCTACGCTGCGCTACGAACCCGGCGACCCGGGTTCGATTCTCGCTCACGGCCACCACCGGTGACGATTGTCTCGGTCCTCCAGGATGGCTCGACTCAAAATGAGTCCCTGGCGGCGCGGCGTGTAGTAAACATCGCCACTCAGGAGACAAAGGCGGCCGGACGTGGTTTTGGCCACCGACCCCCTCGTGTGCCGTGCCGGCCTTTAGATGCTCGCTAACAGCACTTGCCCCAAAAGTCTTTATATACGGGGGATCTTTGTCCTTGTTTGGAGATGTGATAATGGTAGTAATAGTGGTAGTAGTAGTGGTGGTAGTTGCGGTAGTAGTAGTGGTGGTAGTAGTAGTAGTGGTAGTAGTGGTAGTAGTAGTGGTGGTAGTAGTAGTAGTGGTAGTAGTAGTAGTGGTGGTAGTAGTAGTAGAGGTGGTAGTAGTAGAGGTGGTAGTAGTAGTGGTAGTATTAGTGATGGTAGTTGTGGTGGTAGAAATAGTGGTGGTAGTAGTGGTGGTAGTAGTAGTAGTGATGGTAGTTGTGGTGGTAGAAGTAGTTGTGGTAGTAGTGGTGGTAGTAGTAGTAGTGGTAGTAATGGTGGTAGTAATGGTGGTAGTAGTAGTGGTGGTAGTGGTGGTAGTGGTAGTAGTATTAATGGTAGAAGTAGTAGTAGTAGTGGTGGTAGTAGTAGTGGTGGTAGTAAAAGTGGTGGTAGTGGTGGTAGTAGTGGTGGTAGTATTAGTGGTAGTAGTAGTAGTGGTGGTAGTGGTAGTAGTAGTGGTGGTGGTAGTAGTAGTAGTGGCGGTAGTAGTAGTGGTGGTAGTGGTGGTAGTAGGAGTGGTAGTGGCGGTGGTGGTAGTGGTGGTGGTAGTGGTGGTAGTAGTAGTAGTGGTGGTAGTGGTGGTAGTTGGAGTGGTGGTGGTAGTGGTGGTGGTAGTAGTAGTGGTGGTGGTAGTGGTGGTAGTAGTAGTGGTGGTGGTGGTGGTAGAAGTGGTGGTAGTGGTGGTAGTTGGAGTGGTAGTGGTGGTGGTAGTGGTGGTGGTAGTAATGGTGGTGGTAGTAGTGGTGGTGGTGGTAGTAGTGGTGGTAGTAGGAGTGGTGGGGGTAGTAGCAGTGGTGGTAGTGGTGGTAGTAGTGGTAGTAGTGGTGGTAGTAGTAGTGGTGGTAATAGTAGTAGTGGCGGTAGTAGGAGTGGTGGTGGTGGTAGTGGTGGTGGTAGTGGTGGTGGTAGTAGTAGTGGTAGTAGTAGTGGTGGTGGTAGTGGTGGTAGTAGTAGTGGTGGTGGTGGTGGTAGAAGTGGTGGTAGTGGTGGTAGTAGGAGTGATGGTGTTGGTGGTAGTGGTGGTGGTAGTGGTGGTAGTAGGAGTGATGGTGGTGGTAGTGGTGGTGGTAGTGGTGGTGGTAGTGGTGGTGGTAGTGGTGGTGCTATCCGAGTCGCCCCCCCCCCACTCACTCCAAGTCGTCTCCCTCCACGTCGATGCCCTCCTCGAGGTCGCTCTCAGAGGAGCTTCCTCCATCGCACGTGCGCTTCATCCTGCTCCTCCTGCTGCTGCTCCTCCTCCTCCTTCTCGTCGTCGTCGTCTTCTTCTTCTCGCGACGAGAGCGCTCCTCGTGTCTCTCGTCGCCCTTGCGACTTCCACCCGCTCTCCCTCTCTCGCGTTCTCAATCAACACACCCGTTCATCTCTCTTCATCACCTGTATGTGTTTTGTTTCGCACTTCATCCATGCATCTGCGTATTATGCCCGCGTCTCCGCGAATGTTTATGTCTCTCTGTCTCTCGATATATCTCGCTGTCTTTATTTATCGATCTATCAGTCTATCTAAATTTTCTCTCCGTCAGTTATCTCTTCTCTCAGTCGGCAACATAAACAGCCCAACAAGATACATCCGGCGTGATGAAAAGCTGCAGCAGCAGCAGGAGGAAGCCCTTTCTCTCTCTCTCTCGTTCGGGACTCGCCGCTCGCCCGCGTCTCCTGGCCCCGTCTCGCCTCTCCGAGTCATAAAAATAACAATCCCTGTTCTGTCCCACGCCCACCTAAAACTGCCCGTGCCCGTACCCCCCTCCCCGATCGAAAACAAACAAACGCGCGCTGCTGCCGCTGCTGCTGCGCGCTGTCTCTATTCACTCAAAGTCATCTCGCTCGCGACTCTGCCGCGACTCTGCTCAGGATCACGCGCGGGCCGCCTCTCCTCCTCCTCCTCCTCCCCCCTCTGGCTCCGTCTCGCTTCGTGTCGCTCTCCCCTCCTCCTCCTCCTCTCGCTCAGCCCCGAATCTCAGCCGCTTTCCCACGGAGCTGTCAGCCCCGCGTCCAGCGAGGGGGCAACCCCCAATCCACCCCACCCCCACCTCGTTCTCTCCATCCTCCCTCCATCCCCGTCTCGTCAACCCCTCCCCACACATCGCCGCCCGCCGCCGTAACAGCAAATCCTAACCCCCACCTAGCCCCCCCCCCCGTATCTTAGCTCCCACCTTCACCTAGCCCCCACCTTAACCTAACACCCCCCCCCCCAAAACCTAGCCCCCACCTTAACCTAGCTCCCCCAATAACCTAGCCCCACCTTAACCTAGCCCCCCCAATAACCTAACCCCACCCTAACCTAGCCCCCCCACCCTAACCTAGCCCCCACCCTAACCTAGCCCCCACCCTAACCTAGCCCCCCCACCCTAACCTAGCCCCCCCACCCTAACCTAGCCCCCACCCTAACCTAGCCCCCACCCTTATCCCCTTCACGCGAACTCGTGCTCCCCATTATTTGACACTAAACGCCGCCGCCGTCTCCCCCTCCTCCCCCCCCCCTCCCTCCTCCTCCCCCCACCTCCCTCCTCCCCCTGCGCTCGCTCTCTTGACCCCACCCAGGACTCCCACAGGGGGTGGTGTGCAGCCTCACGCACAAACTGTCACACACTGTCACACGCCACATAAAGACACACGCACACACTGTCACACACACACGCACACGCCACATAAAGACACACGCGCACACACTAAAACACGAGTCAATGATCCCGTTAATGGGTAAGTGCTGACCAATGACCAGTGCACTGCACTCCCTCCCTCCTCCGCCAGAACAGGGAACTTCCCTTCCACCCGAACCCACGCATCCTCTATCCACCCCTCATAAAGACAAAGATCCCCCGTATAGCCTTAATAGACTTTTGGGAAAAGTGCTGTTAGCGAGCACCTATGAAGGCCGGCACGGCACCCACGCGACTACTAATTAGCGTTGCACGGCTGCCGCTGCTGTGGATTATAATCCAGCAGCAGCCGCCGCCGCCGTGCAACGTTCACCACAACTCCTCACCCAGTAGCCCCCCCCACCCCCCACCAGTAGCCCCCCCACCCCCCACCAGCCCACCCACGCCAGCTGAGCGGTGACGTCACCAAGAGGTGCTCGCCGCTCGAGGGCGTGGGAACGCGCGCTGGCGCCGCGCGCCGCGTGCACGGGGGGGGAGGGGGGTACAACCCCCACCCACCCCCACCCACCCCCACCCACCCCCACCCACCCCCACCCTCGGTCACAGGGCCGGGGAGGGAGAGAACGAGCGAGGAGGGAGATGGGGAGGGAGATGGTAGACCTCGGAGGACCCGCAACATTCCAGCTCTTTTGAGAATAAATAAAAGTATCTGTTCGGGGGCCACGCGACGAACATGACTCTCTGTGGCAAGGCGGGTGGGTCGAGTGCTGCTCCCTCCCTGTGTGTGGACCAGGGCGGTCACCTGAAGAGCAATCGGAAGTCGTTGTGTGAGACCCGCGAGGCGCACGGCACTCCAGGTGCCGCGGGAGACGCCGGGCGGCGAGGGTGAGACGCCGGGCGGCGAGGGGGAGGAGGAGGAGGAGTTGTTGCTCCAACGCGGGCACGATCCGCGCTCTCAGCTCAGCCTCGCACCGCCTCCACGCGACGAGTCGCTCCGTGATGATGAATCGTGACCGGTCGTGACCCAACAGTCACCTCTCCTCCCTGCGCTCTACCCCGACACCCCCAACCCCCACCGCCGACCCGTGGCCCCCTCCTCTCCCTCCTCTCCCCCGACTCCCACCACCCGCGCCTGCCTCCCTCCTCTCTCTCGCTCATGCATCCTCTCCCCTCGCTCCCGCCCTCTTTCTTTTCACCCTAATGCCCTTCACCCCCCCCCCCCCACCATGCTCAACGCTTAGACCCCCCCCGTCTCGTGGTTGAATGTGGGGGCTCTAGGGGGAGCTTGGCTCACGCCGTGGGAGGCTGCGGGGGCTGAATCGAGCGGGAGCCGCCCGGGCTGCGTCCCTCCCGCAGAGAGGAGCGGGAGCAGCCCCGTCTCGGGCTGCTCGCCGCCTCCCCCTCCGCCCCCTCCTCTCCCTCCTCCTCCTGCTGCTGCTGCCCCCACGCCCGTCTAGGCGCGGCTGTCTGCTGTTTGTAATAATAATAAATAAGTTAAACGCACAAGCGATAAACAATTAACCGCAATGTGTTACTGCACTGCTGGATGAAGGCCTCCCGGCCCATGTTGTGTGTGGTGCCGGGTCCTAGCGGCGGCTTGCGGCGGAGGGCGGGTTGTTTGACCATACTTCTCCACGCTGGTCATGTGGCAATGTTACCATGATTGGGGTTGCACGCAGCAGCAGTCATCATCACCCTGACTGTGACAACTGGGAATGACGCTCCTGCAACAGTCACGAGAATCTGGTGGCGAATTGGTGGATGAGCGAGTTTGCGTGGATAGCGGCCTCCACTTCCAGAGGGTCGCCCACGGAACTCGGAGCTTCCGTCGTGACCCCAGACCATCACGAGTTGCCCTTCCATTTCACGATCACTCCTCCTCCACCACCTCGCCACCAACAGCTCCCACGGTTCGCCACTCAGTAGCGGCGAAGTCACCTCGGCACGTGTGCCATCCTAGGCGCACTTTGAGGCCACATGAGGTGTCGAAGGGTCGCTGGCAGGAGGTCACGGAACTGACCCAAATATCATGGGTGGACTGACTAATAAGACTGGCAGATGCACCAACTGTGCTTCCTACTGTATCACCACCGACATCCACACCAACATCACATCTATACTAGACGGTACTACCTCCACCACACCACGATTACACCACTAAAACAATGACCCGCCTTATAGCCTCAACAGACTGTTGGGGCAAGTACTGAAATAGCGAGGAGCACCTTTGAACGCCGGCGCGGCACATGAGGAGGTGGGTGGCCAGCACCACGCCCGGCCGCATGCACCCCCTCCTCCACCGCCACCACCCTACCCCCCTGACCACCCCCAAACCATCCCCCATGCACTCCCCATTCACTCTCCTAACCGCACTCCCACCGCTCCCCTCGCCCCCCGCCCCGCGCGCCGCTGTCCCTGGGTGACGGGAAGGAAGTCATCTTTGCTTTCTCACGCTCACTCTGTTTGTCTCGCGTGTGTTTGTTTGTTTATAGCCAGCGTGAGTGCGTGTGTGTGTGTGCGCGTGTGTGTGTGCGCGTGTGTGTGTGTGCGCTTGTGTGAGTGTGTGTGTGCGCGTGTGTGTGTGTGCGCGTGTGTGTGTGTGAGCGTGTGTGTGTGTGCGCGTGTGTGTGTGTGAGTGTGTGTGTGTGCTTGTGTGAGTGTGTGTGTGCGCGTGTGTGTGTGTGTGTGCGCTTGTGTGAGTGTGTGTGTGCGCGTGTGTGTGTGTGCGCGTGTGTGTGTGTGTGCGCGTGTGTGTGTGTGAGTGTGTGTGTGTGCTTGTGTGAGTGTGTGTGTGCGCGTATGTGTGAGTGTGGGTGCTGGCCACCCACTCCCTCGTGTGCCGTGACGGCATTCACAGGTGCTCGCAAACAGCACTTGCCCCTAAAGTCTGTTGAGGCTATACTGGGGATCTTTGTGTTTGTGTGCTTGCGCGTGTGAGCATGCGAGCGTGTGGGGGGATGTTTGTGTGTGTGTGAGAGAACATGTGAGCGTGTATGTGCGTGTGTGGTGTCTTTGTGTGTGTAAGTGAGATCTTTGTTGCGTCGTGAACCAGTGTGTGTGTGTGTGTGAGTCGGAGAGTGAGTGAGTTGGTGGATGAGCGAGTTTGCGTGTGTGAGTACGTGAATAGGTGCGTGAATGTGTACCTGTATGTGTGAGAGATAGTGCGTCTGAGTGAATGAGTGGGTGAGTGTGAGTTAGTGAGTGCGCGTGTGAGTGAGTGTCTGACGAGTGAGTAGGTGAGTGTGAGTGGGTGGGTGAGTGGTGTGTAACGAACGTGTTAGTGAGTTCGTATGTGAGCAAGTGAGTGGGTGACAAGTGAGTGAGTATGGGCGACTCATCCATCAATCTTCACTCTGACTACAACACTCCTCCCCCGACCGCCCTCCCCCACCCCCCTTGGAGCACCCTTCAACTGCAGTCACGCTCCGTCTCACGCCTGTTGACACAGCCTCCTCCTCCTCGAGAGAGAGAGAGAGCTCCACCCGCCGCACGCACCACCAAGCGGGGTTACGGGCAGGTGAATGGCCGGGGCAGTCAACACGCCTACGCGGGCCTCGCTCTGCTGATGAGACGCGTTGACTTGCGCTGAACTAACTGCTCCTCAAAATTGTGCGGCTGATGGGATGTGTAAAGCAATACTTGACACATATTCATAGACGGACAGATACATGAAGGGCACGTATCGTCTGCCTATTTCTTTCTTGTTTTGTATTCCCCACAACGACAGGAATGATTATAATCAAAATCATTATTTCTGTGATCGAGAGCTTTGCGTCGTCGAACTAGGACACACATCTAACAGCTCTGGTTTGGCAGCAGTGGTCTCCCTCCAAATCAGCCGAGCGGCATTGTCTTCACACCAGCCGCGTCGCGCTGTGTGGAAGCGACCTGGCTTGTCGCTCCACACGAAACGTCGGGTCTTTCTAGCCACAGTCATACCCTCATGTATCTACGCTTGCAAAACGTGGACCCCACTAGTTGAACATCTGCGCAGATTTTAAATATTCAGTCTGGCCTGCGTACGATCCATCCTGGGTTTAATCAAGCTGGCTTGTGTGACGGGCTCACAGAAGATTGAAAGGTCTCGACACAGACCCATCGGTGAGCGCCTCCGACAGGCAAGGCTGATTTGGCTGGATCATGTAGCCCGCATGCCCAGCCACCGCATGCCCAGCCACCGCATGCCCAAACAGCTTCTCTTCGGCAGGAGAGAGGGGGATAAACGGGCGTGGCACGGTCTGGAGAAGAGATGGACTGACG